TCCACTCCCTCTTTCTCTCCCCTGGAGAGTTCCAGCCCATCTCTGATTTTTGGTTCTTGTTTGTCAATTCATTTTTTTTGGACCACATGCATCTCCTGGTTTTCTCTATGTAGTCTGAGAGCAGCTTATAATGGGAGAAATGGCAAACCTTACTTACCCCGACTTTTTGGGGTGACCTAAGAGATTCTTTCTTGACAAGTTTAAGATAAAAAACTGCTGGAAGAATGAAAATCAGCATAGTGGCAGAAGACGCCCCTGAGGAGAGACACGGGACAGGTCACAGTCTTACTCAGCAGGTCTGAATCAGCAAGGCAGAGAGCCAGGGGCGTACACTTGAAAGTAACCAAACCTAAGGCTTCCCTAATCTTAGCACGATAGGTACTATAAGCTTGTGGATGCTCATTGAAAAAGATATGTTTATAAATACAATTTAAATGTACCTTACATAGTAGCTGCATACTAACTATACATAACATGTACTAAAAAACAAAAAGACTGAATGTTACAAATTTATAGGAAATTAGTAATGTAAATACATCTATGAACCCATCACACCCCCTTCCTATCTACTTCTAGCTTTTCCAAATGCTTGTTTTTAAAGTTTTACATTGTATTTCAAGTCTGACTGAATCCTGAAATCAGCAGAATGAAAAATTAAATATATTAACAGGTCACTCAGTTAAGAGAAATAATACACTTTACAAAGTCAACCTCCTCTTTCTCCAAAGACATCCTTTTAATGTTCAGCTGATACTCACAGACCTCAGAGGGCATCCTGTAGGTAAAATCTAACTTCCCTCCTCTTTCTCTGATGCACAGTTAATACCTAAGTTCAAATCCTGGGTCCACTCCAAGTATTATGACTTGACTATTGTGGAGCTCAGTTTCCTGGTCTGCCGGAAAAGGCAGCTAGACTACATGGTCTAGAGGTAGGTTTTAACTAACGTTTTCTGATCCTGTCAATAACTTCCAGTGTGACTGGGAGGGAGGGAAAGTGACCAACTGGAGCCCAGCTGGGCTACTAGGAATTCTGTGAGCCTGTGACGGATGGGGATCATTTTCCTTCCATCACTGGCTCCCTGTCCTCTGTTAATGGAGGTATCACTTGAGTTGACAAAATAAAAGCCTTTCTGAAACTTACCTATGAATCCAAAGATGTATTTTATAGTTGGCACAAGGATGACCAAAACATTATTAAGTGCAATGAGTATGGCTGCAATCAGGAAATGTCTTATCCAGCTGAAGGGTCTTTTGGGAAATAACAATGTGATCACTGATGAACGAATCTGCAACAGGAAGTTCAAAGGCAAGGTCACGGCTTTGTTTTTGACTCTATCTACTGTTTCAAATATCCTCGTCCCTCTCAAACATTCTTGGTTTTCCTTTTTCTCCCAGAAAAGATCTTGATGCTGGTTCTTTTTTTTTTTTAATTTTAAAAATTGTGATAAAGTACAAATAACATAAAATTTACCATCTTAACCATTTTCAAGTGAACAATTCAATGGTATTAAATATATTCATATTGTTGTGCAAGCTTGATGCTGATTTTCAATGTTTGGGAGAGGGTCGCTTTTCCCTCAGGGGATATATCTTGTGCTCACTTTCTTTGCTTTCAGAATGTTTTCTTAAAAATAGTCTCAGTCAGAAAGAGATAAAAGGCTAGATAAGATACATAAATCAGAGATGCAGGAAAAACCCTTGTTGATTTTTAATCATGTCTTACCAGACTGGATTCATTGTTAAGGGCAAGCATTGAATTTACTGGCATGTGATCGTGAACAGAATTTTTACAAACCTCAGTGTTTCTCAATTTCACATTTAGCATTTTTTGCCCCGTGATTTTTTCTTAAATATAATACTTTTTGTATTTACTCCTTTCCCCTTTTCCCCCTTTACCTTCCGCCAGTTACAGATTATAGATGCCCAAAAGGCAAGGACGAAAACCTAATGACCCTAACGCTCCTCTGCGTTTCTACCTTAGTGTCTTACACACAGCAGGCACTCAATAAATGCTGAATTAAATTGAACAGAATTAATCTTTTCCCTTCCTTCAGGATCCTTGACAGATTTCAGCCCTATTTCAGCAGCTGAAAAGAGCAGGTGAAGGGTCAAGTAAGGCTCCAGTTGTAGCAGCCACTCAAGTTACTCTGATGTAACTGGATAAAAAGATCCCTGTGGGTCGAGGGAGGGACTGCCGTTTATGGTTGAAGAGCTTAACAAAGGTGGAAATATTCTTATCTTTGAAATCTTTTAGAGGACACTTTTTTGACTCAGTAGAATTAGTTGATTGGCTTTGCAAGCAGTGAGCACTTCAGTTAAGCTAGGATTTCCCGTTTTTAGAAATGCCGAGATTGGGAGTGATTTTTTTTCCCTTAAAACTTTGCCTCTGAAGTCTTTTAATGGTGTAGAGGTGGGAATTCTTTTAAAAGAGAGAAAATGTAAAATATATTTTGAAACACACGTATGAATGACAAATGCTTCGAGCTGAATGGCTTGCTGTGTCTAACGTGACATTCCTTTCACACCACTCTGTCAAAAATTAAAGCCATCTGTCTAGGTTTAAAAGGCAAGTTCACTTCCAGAATGGCAACGCCAGCTAGTCTCTGGAAACGACTACAGAGTGAGTTTGTAACGGATTTTAAAAGTTGGATGAGCGAACATGATGAAACTCACTCTGAAAAGTAGACTGAGCAAAGCGAACAGTTTGATTTTGTTTTCCTCAGCAGCCTAGAAATTATGACCTACAATTAGTGTTCGTTCAATATTGTCCGAGCTTAAAATAAGCTTTCTAAATACACATACACACACACACACACACATATATATACAACTCAATCACTATGCTGTACACCAGAAACTAACACAACATTGTAAATCAAAAAATAAACATAAAAAATAAGCTTTCTATGGTACACACATAGGGTTTAAGGGTTTATTTGTCTGAGAATGACAAACTTATAGCCTAAGCAAGCAGAATGCAGGTTATTTTCGGGCAGAGGTCACACGTATATGCTTTATTAGTCCTTTGTTGAAATAATGTGTTTAACTCAATAAGCTGAGTCAGAGGCAAACCTATATGTATGGGGTCTTGGAATGTAAATAAATGCAGTTTTCTCAGGTCTCAAGGCTCCCAGAAAGACTAAGAGTTGGCCTAATGATGTAATAGTATAGAAAGTTTGCGGAATAATGGCTGAAATAAATGGTGAAAGTTTGCTCTTCATAGTCAGTAGGGAATAAGGAAATCCCAAACAGAGCTGAAGGCATGTAGGGTTGCCAGTGCACGTCTTAGATGGGCAATGGGGCAAACGGGGAGATAGAGGCTGCCGGCCGTGGCAGGTGGAGGAAAAGAGTAGAAGGGAGCTTGCTATTCATTCCAGGTTAAAATGCAGCCTTGCGTGTGCGCCTGGGGTCACAGGTTCCGGCAGCTCCCCTTGGCTGTGTCAGGACACAGGCGACTCCGGCTTATTATCCACAAAGCCGTGCCGGCTGCTCCACTTAGGCCCTTTGCTCCACCGACACAAACTGACAAGAACCTGCAAGTGTGGGTCAGATGCCTTGTGTGGGGACATCCCCAGCACCCTCCACAGCCTCTAACCCCGGAACCGTTCCAGAAGAGCTCCCCACAGCTCTCGAGAAAACACCTGTTGTTTCCAGAGACAGCGTTCCGAACAGGAGCCTGTTCGGGAGATGCTGTGTTCTGATGTAGGGCCCCATGTGAAAGTCAGAAATGTGGAGGCTGCATAGAATGTGGAAGCACTGTTAGTTCTGAACTCAATCAATCAATCAATCAATCAACTCTATCAATTCTATCAATTCTGTTGCTTTGAAGTGAATCACAGCCTCACTTTGCAGGACTGCTTAGGACAGGAGCATTGGAAATGCCTGGACCACACTGGCATCCGTGTTCTAGTCCAGTTCACAGCAACACCTGCCATCTTTCTATGACTATATCTACGTACGCCTCAAAACGGGAGGTCTAAAGGCAACGTAAGAGCAAGGGATGGTTTTACTATAATCTAATGAAATAGAAGAAGCTAGAGACTCTGAGATATGATCTCTCTCTTTTTTTTTAAGGTGCAGTGGGTAGAATTTGAGTCTATGTGTTCTCGATAAACCCATTAGGGTTATTGGATTTTCTGCTTTTCATGGTAGTAAGTGCATTTTCTGCACAAAGGGAAGCACAAGCTGAAAATGGCATGATTAGTCCCTGGGAAGGAGGTGCAGTCCCATAATAGACACCCCCAGCCCCATGGCTCCTCCCTCCCGCTTCTAAGAAAGAGAAAACAATGTTGGATGGCTAGTGAGAAAGCCAGCATCTTATTCACTTTATTTATGTGCTCAAGAAACACTTCAAGCATTTATTCTGTGCCTTTTACTAACAGGGAAAAAGCTAACCTGACTCGGGGGGAAAAAAAAAGGCAATGCATGGAGAAATGAAAAGGGAATCCAGCCAACCACCAACACCGACAACAAAATTCTTGTCATCTCTTCTTGGGCTCCTAAGAAAAATAAGCAACTTTGTAGTTGAATAAAGGAGAACACAAAAAAATATCTAAAAGAGATAGATTTTAATCCAGATTGGGTTTTATTTGTTCCATTATTTGTAGGTGGGGCTATCAAGGCAAAGCAAATAAATGTATTGGTCAAGAGTTTCTTAACTCAAGGAAACTTACCAGGAGAACCATGCTGTTTGACCCAGCATTTGACACATGGAAAATCTTGGCTCCAAATTGTCAGAAACAAACAAATACACCCTTAACAACTTCTGTCATTGTTGGGGAGAAGGGTCTGAATGTAGCCTTGTGGCAATTGACTGGGACAAAGAGGCTGGACCCACTTTTATATCATCCATAACCTCCAAGGAGGCTTGGTTCATGAAGCCAAGAACCCCACCTGAACTGATGTTCATGGCGAATGTCAGCCAGGAGAAGAGTCTACGCTTTTGCTGGAAAAGGCAGTTTATACAACCACAAGAAAGGGTGAGATTCATTTGGAGACCGTTTTTCTTAGCAAACACTGTTGAGCTCACCCTTAACATCCAGGGGAAGATTTGGACAATATACGAAGCATCTCAATGTAACGTAACGGTGAAACAGAAGTACGTGCAAAATACTTCATAAACGCTAATGTGGAGTAAAAATCCTTAACAAAGGATAGCAGTTTCTTTCCTGAAATCTGGTTCTAATCGTGAGTTTTGGTTTTAATGGGCATCTGATGGGAAATGTTTCCAAACTACTATGGGAGATACACCTAGTGGAAAATGTGTTGCCATTCCTGATAGTCAGATTCATGCCAGTGCCTTATCTGTTACTGTGGGGAAGAATTTCTATGGGAGATCTGAATTGTTAATGTCAAGGTGGAACGGTCATCACTAAATGAAAGGCTGACTTTCGCTGCCCATTATCAGGACTGCAGCCGTCAGTATCACGCTGTGAGCAACGCATCAGTTCAACTGTTAGCAACTAGCTGTGGAACCACAGCCAAGTCCCTTAATCTCCTGAGACCATGACTTGAAAGCACTCTATATAGGACTTATGAATAGACCAACACAGAAATGCATAACAGATTTCTTTTATAAAATGCATTGATTCAGCAATGATGTGACCGCTCACTGTGTGCCAAGATTTCATCAGTAATATCTTTACACACAAAAAGGAAGGCTCCAGATAATCTTTATTTGGCGATGCCGTTTGCTTTGGGAAGTTTACCCTATGGTTCATTTTCTGTCTACAGCTGTCTTCTGCCTTATACCCACCATGGAGCTGATTTTAGGCTAAAGCTGAGTGCCTGTCATTTGAAATACTTTCAGATATATAAGAGACAAGACATTATTTAAAAGTAAACTCTTAGCCGCCATAGTAATAAGGATCTGATTTCATGCACTCATGGAAAAGGAATGTGCCAAAAAATATTTCAGCACACAGGCTGCATTTAAAGTGACCGCAGTGTCATTATAGGAGTAACCTTCATCGGTTTGGCCCTGTATGGAACATTCTGTCCAGGACAGTGCTGGTTACTATGTTGCTGATTTTTCCCCCCCTAAAAAGAGTGGTAAATTCAGTGTTTATGAAAGAGAAGTTGGCAGGAAAGTGCAGGCTTGTGTTTATCCATAGGTGGTGGTTTTAACGCATGCAGCCCAGGTCTCCATGATCAGCCCTGCTCTGTGATCCCAGAACAACTGATCCCAACAACAAATGTCATGAAGGGACTGTCCCAGCACGAGTCTGCCAAAGGGTGTGTGTCAGTCTTGGGGGCAGTAGAAGAGACATATGATGGATAACATGACTACTTTTCAAGAAATTCTGTTCAAGGACATAATTTACTTAACATGTCTTATTAGTGTTCAAGGAATCATTAAATAAATCAACTTTTGGATGTGAAGGCAGCACAACAAACTGGGAGTAGGGGGTGGGGGATGAAATACTTTCAGAACGGTGGCGAAAATGCAATAGAATTTGAAAGATAATGTGGTTTTGGCTTTCAAATTAAGCTATATGAACTCCTACTCATTTCTACTCCTCCACAAGATAGGAACTCAAGATCTGGTTTTTTGAATTTGAGTTTAAAAATAAATTTCAATCTCAATAAAGCTGTAAAACAAAATAAATATGTGGAAATTAATTTTTTTCCCTCTACATTGAAAAAGTACTTAACATTTGAAGAGACTTGCTCTATCCAAATATTAAATGGTCAATTTTAAGTGGGTCCAAAATGCTATATGAAAATAATAATGTTCTTGGACATTGCAATTGCAAACTCACATTACAACTGAGTCAACAGCAAGTCAGAACATTTGTACTGATTGACCCTAATCTACGGGGGATTTTTTTACCAGAGGTTCGTGTACTTACGGGGAACAGGACTATGGGCACCGTTAGTGTTACTGCCACGAGGACTGCCAGGCGTACCATGAGGAGAGGGGTGTCAAATGTGTACACCTTGCTGTAACCGTGAAGCAACTCATCTTCAACTTCTCCTGCAAAGAGGAAGAAGGAAATGAGTCCACCTGGTGTGGCCACATCGGCACTGCTTACTTAGGAGAATGTTTTACAGAAGGGACAGAGTTGAGCAGAAAGAACCCAGGTCTGGGAATCCAGACACCTCTGTTGTTATCCTATCTCTTAGCTTATTAGCTGTGTGATCTTTGCTCAAATGAACAAAGGGGTCCTGAGGCTTGTAAAGTTGCGGGAGCTGATATAAAATTGCTAAGGCTCTTCTCTAATCATTTGCATTGTGATGTCTCTCTCTGCTTTGCAGAAGTATCACAAAACAGAGGACAGGCTGAGGTCCTCTGGTGGAGAGGGATGAAAGGGCTAAACCCCTCCAGTCTGTTCCTCACATCTTGCCACACCCCATCCACCTCCACCTGCCCAGTGAGCTCTGACGCAGCTTCTCCAAACCCAATATGGAAATCCTAGGACAAATGATCTCTAACGTTTTTTTCAAGCTCAACAAATCATGACTCCATCATGACACTGATAGACATACCTTTGGGCTTTTTCCAAGTTTTTGTTTGCCTTATGAGACTCATTACATTAAGTAACAATGCAAGGATGAATTGGTGTGATTTCTATAGTGTCTCCCTATGAATATTGCTCTAAGATTAAGATGCTGCCCTCCTGGAAAACACATTCATTCAGAATTCTGGACACAAACAACAAGGAATCAGATGTACGTTAATTTTCCCACTCAAAATCAGACAAAGAGAGGTAAAAATGCCTTCAACGCCATTGACCTGACTTTCGTTAATTCACAACCAGAAAAGAGTTAATGCCCAGTCTAAAGTAGTGCTTGGTTAATAGCCAAATATTAGTCCAACCCCCCCCAAAAAAACCACAAAACCCGAAGCAAATGATGGCCCTGCCAATCTCTTCCTTCCCAACTTGTCTTGCAATCAATTTAATTTTACCAAGTCAGTCAGAAAAAAAAAAAGCAAAAACTTAGAGAGGTGTATTTTAAAAATATATTTATGTTGATAAACATTGATTAGGGTGAACATATGCTACCAAGTCAATGCTTGATTCCCTGAAAATTGTCTGTAGGACCATCTCCACGGAAAAGGACAACCCTGCTCCTTTTGCGTCCTGTTAAGGTGCCACACAGGCATAATCTAACGTGGCCTTCATCACTTCATTTTTTGATAATATATCCCCAGATCAAAGGGAATTCCATCATGTCCTTCTCTTTTCTTAAGAAACCATCCACTGTAACAGAATAGAATGAGATAAACCAGAAAATTTGTCTGATATTCCAAGCCCCCAGATTTGACTTGACTGATAAACAAGAAGCAGACCCCAAATCAAGAATTTGTACTTTTTCTGACATTTGCTTGTTATTTGCTAGTTAGTTATTCTGCCGAAAGAGCTTTATAACATTGCAATTCAGTTCACACTCATCACGCCTAGCTTTGGATGGCCTGGGAAGTCAAGCCGAAGAAATGTCATCTGTCCCTTAAGGAAAAGAATTAAAATTGAGGGATGGTTTTTATAAAATA